TGGATGAGGCGCGTCCAGCGTCAATCCAGTAAACGAGATCGCATAAGCACAGGCGCATACATAACTAAACGGGCTAGGACAATCGATGCCCTATTCATTAATCGAATTAAGCATGATTGGTTAATCGGAACGCGTCGATGGGAGCCGCGAATAAATTTCAATTAGAGCAATCAGGACGGTCACTCGCGGAAGTTCTGGAGATGGACCGGGATAGCGATCTTGCGCCATGCATACAAAGCTCCCATGTCGAGTGCATACAAAAGAGGACCTCCAGTGCAAATCATTAGAATTGCGGTAAGTGAGATGTGTGTAGAATTATGTACCGATCCTAGACTAAGATAATAGCGTTGAGGTTTACCATTGGCTAGATTGCTTGTCGTTGTCGCCTATCAGCGACAAGTTTTAAACAAATACTTGCGTAGATAAATAAGGGGGTCGCTGTAAATGTTCCATGTGATGAGCGAGAATGATGTACAATGTAAATGACATTGCATTAATTTTCGAGTGACCGCAAGTTGTGACATCATCTGGCGCTGCGATGGATCTTTGTACGCCAATTTGTAAGCGACGACATAAACCGTGAATGTAACGAAGCCCCTAAACAACGAAATAAGCGAGCGCATCAACTCGAACCTCGCGAAATATCTCAACGGTTGACATGCCGACAACCCAAGAAGCTAACTCTGAGTTTACATTCGCCGACGTAACGAGGGGAGCCGCCAGCTCGCCCATTGTATTTATGCCTTAAACACAATTTATTTATTCGGTAAACATTACGGAGACACAAAATCTTGTCCATAAATACATGTGAAAGCACATATCAAGTATCGGAATGCAAACGGCGGGGCTCGTGTCTGAATTATGCAACAGAACGGCGCGGGCGCAGGCTTGCCGTAATAGTGCACAGAGTGCTCGCTGTCAGTGGACGCAACTCCTAAAATAATGCGCCAGATAAGAGTGCCGCGTGTTTACTATAAACGCCGCAACCTAATTTCCTTGATGGCGGTCCATTACAATCTCTCAAGTAATGACATTTTTTTTCAGCGAGATTCCATGGAACGTATTGACATACGTTACACGTTCTCAATTAGTAAGCTGATCCATTACCTGAATGACGGCGCGAATCGAATTTACGACGGTCATTGCTCTTGCGGAAATTTCACTAAATTGGAAATACTGCTTGAACGACAACGGTGGAATCTCTTCATTTGTCCAGCCGCCATGGACACGACAAAGGCGGTTTGCGAATATTGCCCTTATGTTGGATTAACGGTGGGTCCATCGATCTTGCGCCCGGGTGGTCGTCGGTGCGACGTTAATTACAGGGGAGGACCGATCATTTAATGTGAATTTCGCAAACATTAAACAATTTACAAAAAAATTTAACCGTCGGTGCGTTCACGCGTCGAATAATAAATTAATGATCGCACCAGCCGCAACACCGTGTCGACAATTTAAGCGCATCTTACCCAATGTGTAACCTGAAAAACTCAGCCCATTGGTAGGTGCATCGGACACCAACTCCTTAAGGATTTTTGTAAAAACAACAAAACAATACTACAATCAAAACAAACGTATGTAACATAGAACAATAGCTTTAGAATAACATTCATTAGAAGCTGATCAGACATAGAAGAAAGTCGGGTCGATAATGTTGTACCTAATCCTAAAACCACACGCGGTGACGATTACAAGGCACCTATTAGTCAAATTAGCTTTATTGTTGGAGCCCGTCAGGCTTGCACAAGACAACCAATCGGCTTACAGGCAGACAATTATGTGGGCATATTAGCTAGCACAATACGATGAGTCAACAGAAATTGCGTCTTGGGCGTTTATCAAAACAATAGTATTGATAAGTTAATAAAGCTAGGTGCGAGACTAACGAGCGATTACTGAGCAACGTTGAGAACAGACGCGCGCCCCATGCGAACGGAATACGTTAGTGGCCGAGCGTGAGTCACCAAGCCGCTATTGGAAAGGCAAGCCAAAGCTTGATTGTCAACGTCTAAAAAAGATTAAGAATTTACGACTCGTGTCGACAATTTCTATTACTGGTGACGGTTATCATTTAAAACTAGATATAACAAAGCACGAATACTAAAACAGTGTGAAAGAAATAATTACGTATCCTATATACAAGTTGCCTGCACTAAAAGCGAAATCTGATGAGTACAATTACGAAACGCGAACTCGATTAGGAATACAAGCGAAGCGAGGGCACTGACCGACTTCCACATTTATACCGCTAATTCATGCACAAGAGCATCTGCATCCTACGAGCAGTATTACGCCAAACATCAGCCACAGAACAGGGTTATGGCTGATACCGTTTATATTCACAGAACAGACGCCTCAGTTGACATTTGTTACACACAGAGAATACGTAAAGAATGATATTTATGTAAACGACTTTGCAGTGATGACAGGTGAAATCGTTCCTAGAGAAAAAGCGAAATATACCGCCTTTGAATTATAAAACATGCACATAGTACAGTGATCCTAACTTACGTGATAAATCCACAAAAATAGACAAAATAAATAGTATATAAAAATGACGATAATAATTATTATAAAATCGATCACGGGACGCACTTATCATTCAGAATTGTAATTACGGCGAGAGAATTTCAATCGAATCAAATTATCGATGGTGCGTAAACAATAATGATCGATATCGGTGCGGACATGCTATTTCCATACGTCAAACCTAAACGGGTACGAATGTACCACCTGAAGAAGAGAGATTTTTATCAAACCGAACGCGAAACGAAAGATTCGATACAATCGATTTCAACATATCGGAGCTGACAAGATATTTGAGGTCGGAGGCGAAGGCGCAGTGGGCGCCGGATGAGTTCGAAATTAAAACAATATGCAAATGAGAAGTGAGAATTAATCGTTCGGTGCAATTGATGCGACGGCAACAGGAGCAGCTACTGGGTACAAATCGATGAATAAATAGTGTCCGATTAGCGACGCAAGGTGCGTTCAGCGTTTAATGGATGAATCGAATCTGAGCGACTCAATGAGTCGACACGGCGCACGGACCGTATTTGGAGTACAGTTCAGTTGTACGTTTCATTGATTAACTGCTCGCGTGAACACGTCTATATGGACTGCATTAAAGGTGATAGTGTTCGAAATTGAATTTAGAAATGTAAATTACTTGGAGTTGAGTCGATAGTTACATTTATGAGTATCGATGTGAAAGCCCCCGCTTTACACCGATTGATTTCCCTAGTACCATGCTAGCGGGCGCCAAGCTTGACAGGGGAATTTATAATAATCACCAACGGTACCACCGAAAGTAATTTTCAATTAAGTTTCTAGATAATCCGGATCAGGCGGAGCAGCTGAGGACTTAGAACCCGAGGCGACAGCGCACTACACCCTTCTTAATTAGAAACTGTATCCACTCTCACTGGTAAACAACCTTGCGAAACCTTTGACATTGGATGTTAGATCTAATAATTTAATAATAAAAGAACACTCCTAACGTTACAGTAACTGCTAATTTACTATTCTCCTACATATCAAGACTTGATTATGATTGCTTTAAATGTTCACACAAGTGTTTAAAAAACGCTATTCACTATATTAGAATGTAATACGATTGACTTCCTTCAATTTCGAGGATAATCGACGTTATTAAGCACCTCGTTTGGTATATGTGTATACGGACTTTTTACAGAAGCGTCAGATGAAAGGCCGATTCATTGATCATAATGAATGAATAGATACCAACCGCTCCTACTTCCGAGGCGTTAGCGTCAGTCCAAACCGTAAAACCGGTTAGTCGCGTTAATTATAAACCGATTTTAAATCTGATTATTTCGCTACCGAATCGATTTCGACATCTCTATGCTGATCATCAATTTCATTGATAGATTTTCGACTCGGGTGATTGATTAAACTATCTTGATTAAATCGATTTGAAGTTTTGTAATAAAAAAAGTTAACGTTCTTGTATTCCATATTTACATAACTTTTTCTTATTACTTACTCTCAATCTGTATTTTGATGTAATTCGTATACAGAAGCATGCAATTTTGACAGATATTAATTAATATAACGCGTGTTTTACACTGAACGGTATCTGTGGCTATACGAATCGATCTGTCATGTTAGTCATATACGAGATTCGCTTACGAGATGGAGAGAAATTCGTCGACTCTCAGGCTCAAATTACAAAAATTCAGATTCTCGGAATCGCTTCGCTGCTCGAATCCTCGTCGCCCGGCACACGGTTCACGGAAATTATTCTATTCATCATATATTTACAAATATATTAACAAAATAGTTTATTCATTGTATATTATTCTTTTTCTTATTAATCTAAATATGCGTTCACTTGTAAACTCTGTATTTTAAGTACTTTTACTATTAAGTACACATTTTTTAATATACTACACATCAGACTCTAAATCTGATTTCATCCTGATCCTGAATTTTCCGTACAATGTGTAATTGTATATATAATGTAATCCAAGTTTGATCCTAAATTTTGCCCGGACGTGTAAATTCTACTTGCTGAAAGTAGTCTGATTTCTATGAAGCTAAGAATTTGTACCAATTATATTAAAATTGCATAGAAAACAGTTCATTAAATTGGTATCTATAATGCCACTGATGAACACAAAAGGTTTAAGCAAAAGAAAAGTACTTAAAAACTAGATATTAACAAAGTTTACAAGTAAATTCGCTACAATTAACCTAACCTAGAACGTGACTATTTCGTTAATCCAGTCGAAATGTCCTCTCCGTGAGGAATGATCGATATCCAATACCAAATAGAGATTTACTCTAGCGCCATCAGACTACCGTTGAGGATGATGGGACATGTGGGGGTGAGATAAATGAGAATGGGGGTAGGGCTGCAGTGGGAGCGGCGATGGGCACGGTGCATGTTGATGGTATTGCTGCAGCGGCGACGGGGCCAACCCTGAGTGGTGTTCGATAGGGTACTGCGCGGAGCTTGCATACGCCAATTGCCTCACCTTCATGTCGTCGTCAACTACGTTATAGGTCAGCTCGGTCTCCTCGAAGCCTGTGGCCGCCATCCGCTGTTCGCTGGTCGTCGGCGGATCAGGTGAGTTCAGACATGTCTGGATCAACCTCTTGCCGGCGTCTGATGTTATCATAGGTTGAAGTTTCCTCGTCGCGAAGGTGTAAACGTGTCCCGTCTCGGACGCTACTAGCAGCATCACTTGAGTGCCCGTCAGCGTTGATAGTTCATAAGCCTGAAAACAAACAATTCGTTAATTAGTACCATGGAATGTTATCTTATCATTCATACGTCATACATAAATATAAACTTCTTCATATTATTTGCGAAATCTACTCGTATTTAAATTGTATAGAATAGTTTCGTACACGTTCTCTCACACTGTGAGAACGTGTGAATCTATGTATTAATATAGTATGTATTAGTCTATAGAATATCTGTTATATTGAACATTATATATATTAATAATAACAATAATATCACAGGACAATTTACATAGTCCCAGGTTTAACAGAGCTTGTCTTGTGGGTACACAACAGATATAAATACTTAATTACATTTTTTTGTAAACACATCTTCCTAATATAACCGTGAGCATGGATAGATGTATGAATATTTTTCGTTATTTCAAGAACTACTGAAAGGATTTTAATGTATTTTGAAACTAATATAGCTGGTACATCAAAATAGCTCTTAAGCTATAATTTTAAAAGACAGTATATAAATTTGGGAAACATATAATGATAAAAGTCAAGTAAGCCGGATGCAGACGAAGTTGCGCGGGCAATCTAGTACTAATATACACAGAAAACATACTCATGAATACAAATATCTGTACCGTGCAAGGAACCGAACCTGCGACCATCAGAAGTAAGACGGTGTGCTAAATCGTTAGATTAATATTTCGTATGACCGATTTCTTATTCTTACATATAAAACCATTGTTTTGCAAACATGTGGAATTTGCATAAACTCAAGACCACCTACTTTCACAGAATCATGAATGATTTTACGCCACATACCATAAAATTTGCAAGTCCATCATGTATTTCGTACACGTGGGTGTGGCAACAGCCGACACTGGATGGTAAATGACCAAAGTGGTATACGGTTGGTAACATCAAAGTGAAACTTTAGGGTAACATCGGCATCCTAAAAGTGTCGACCTTTCACCTCTCCCACGCTACTAATACGTAAGCAAACCACACTTTCGGGAGCAATCTTACGCTCTCACGGCAATCTTTGTGTATGCAAGACGAATTATCACACCCACTGGCGCCCAACCACCCACACCACGAGTACCGCGTTATCAAAACCTGCGACACATTCCAATCTCAACTCCACCGCTAACAAATTAAGAGCCAAATACGAACAAATTGAAATCTCGGTAATTTGTCGCGCACAGCGCAATTGACAAAACTCCAGTAGCTCGAACACTAACTCAAATTAATGCCAATTGAATTCTAACCCTTACAGTGTTGACAATAAAACCTCATTTAGCACCGTTTTCTGTGGTTTCATGTAAATTTGTATTGACTAGAGATAAATTTGCTTTTCCATTATTTAATAGGTTGTGGTCGCGACACAATTCGCTTCACTTATCAGTCATGTGGTAACGGCCCCCTGTGTACACAAACTTGTGTATTATTCAATTTAAAACTTTATTGTTTATTACGTAAAGATCATTCTTTGTTCATGCATGTAATGAATTGAGTTTATCGTTGTTTTCTTATAAAGTTTGGAAGTTAACGCCTTATAAATATGTTTGAGGTTTGATGTCGTCTATAGACCATGTGGATTGCATAAGATTGATAAACATATTTATCGTTGTCTTGTATTATATGATTCTTAATTTAATTTAAATCTGAAGTAATTAAAAAATACAACTATATCTTATTTCAGAATAAGTCTATACGTGTAATAAAAATGCAACTGTACATGGCAGATATAAAATAACTATCGTTTGGGGACTTTATTAATGTCATAGAACACGAAACAATTAATGTTATAATTTTTGTCTGTTAACTAGATGTTCCAAATTCGAATGCTTAAGTAATTTATACTGATTTAGAATCCGATCATTTCTGCCACCATATTACTAGACTTTCGAAATTCAAATACTTAAGTACTATGTATTGATTTAGCCTTCGATCACTTCTGCCACCTGATTACCAGACGTTCGAAATTCCAATACTTAGGTAAGTACTATGTACTGATTTAGCATCCGATCACTTCTACCATCTGATTACTAGATGTTCGAAATTCAAATACTTAAGTACTATATACTGATTTAGCCTCCGATCACTTCTACCATCTGATTACTAAACGTTCGAAATTCAAATATTTAAATAATCTGTACTGATTTAGCATCCGATCACTACTACCACCTGATTACTAGACGTTCGAAATTCAAACGATGAAGTAATCTGATGTAGTTTAATTTAAAAAACGTAACGACTATTGGAACTCCACAGCTCTCGCAACCTTTGGAATGACAGTAAAGTTCGGAATAGGGTCAGTGAGCGTTCAATCAATTCTGACATGCGACTGGGAGATTATTGAAGTGACTGTTACCGTAACATGTGATATTTTATCGATATCGATCACTCCAGTGTTGTTCTCATAACGTAACTTGTTCTTTGAAAAAAGATTGCTTCTCAATTTTGACTAGACACGTACTCGTATACATATTACACAATGAATACAAGATTCAAGGACTGAAAGAATATATTTACATTAGAATATCAATATATAGCAAAAACTTAATACCGAAGGAGTATGAATCGCACACAGTTTATATAAAGTTAGAGTGCAAAATGCAATTTTTTTTAACATGCATAAAAATACATGAAATCAATAACAAAAATATTACATACCATACTATTTATTTGACACAAACATGCATAGAAATAGACTCTATATATGACAATAAAAATTTAATAATGTTCCAACTTATAATTTAATTGTGATCGAATTTCGACCATTGGGGGCCACTAGTATTAGTAATTAAGTATAATATCAGGTCGAAACTGTCAGCACATTGACATTTAACAAAATATAAACTAAATCTTCTCAAACATTACTCCATTTGAATATAAACAATAAACATATAGTATAAATAAAAATGAAATAAAATAGTGTACGGATAAAAAAACTAAAGAGCAATGCAAACATTGATTCGAAATATGAATTAGACATTAATATATAAATATTTTATATAAAAATATTATACATTTATATATATATATATATAGTATATACATATAAATGTAACGTCATAATTTTGTTTCGTAGTAGTTTGTAAAAAAATATTGTACAAGTGCTTTTATAAATTACTGTCGAATCCAGTGCAGGAAAAATCAGAATACACTGAAAGTCAATTACTTACTACAAAGTATTCTGAACTCAAAATCTTATCACATAAGAGCCTAGTTTAGGCAAATTGATGAGGACAAACACGTTCCGCGTCCATTCGCCCAAATGATTGATGATAGCACTGTAATTAGCGAATTTACTCCTTGCCTTGCATAGTGACACCAGCTCCAGTGCCACTGTTAATCACTCAAATATAACCCTTATGTTAACGTAACAGGATTGACATTAACAGCGCTATTATAATTCAGTCAAAACAGTGCCGAAATGACAATTACAAATGTACCTTTAATGAGGTTCGTTGTTAAATGTGATTAATGAAGACGCAGTGAAATTTTAGTGATCACACGACAATCTTAAGGGTTAATTAAAAAAAAATACCAACACTGATCTTTCGAAAGATTCAAAGATTCAAATCGTTACCAAATATAGTCTGTGCTATTTGACCTTTGACTGTATGGGATTAATTCTTTAGCATCAATTGCTCAAATGCTATGATATTAATTTCTTGCATTCAAAAATAGAATCTTTCAATGATTGAATCATTAAGTGAGGTCAAAGGAAACGCGGGGGCGTAAATGTTGTACACAAGGAGGGTCAATTATATCTTATATGTTAATTAAAGTGAATATAAAAATTTAAAAGTTACAACACTGATGTCGAGTATCGCGTAGGACAAACATGTTTTAAAGTACCTTTGCTTTAAGAATTTATTAAAAAAAAAGACAATATTGAAACTCGTCAAAATTTGTATGAGACAAAAAACGGTCGAGTATTTTATGATACGGACATTATCTGCGATTTGGTCATGACATATGTATGATAATATTACATTATCATAAATAATACCTGTATAAATATATAATCCAATAAATGATAATGTAATAACCTCCTTTCAATTTGTTTTACGGTGCACGTATGAATGGTCCTAATTAAGTTAACGATATAAACGTTCTGCCACAATTTATATATTTATGACTTTACAGCAATAAATATGTGCTACTGTATTAAGAATAGCGTCAAATTAAATTTCGTCAAATTATACGGTTATTTTTACACATCGTATATTTGTAGTACGTATAATAATTATTATTAGTTGATTAAACCGTAAAATATTACGGCATCGGTATTCTTGCGGTTTAGCACACCGCTTTGGTCGGAGGTTCGATTCCTCGCACGCTGCAAACATTTTTCTCACGAGTTTTAATTTTTTGTATCAATCTGGGTGTTTTTTATATATATTATTAAGTATGTATTAAAAAAAAATATATAAAGTTATATAAGCTGTTTAATATCCATAACACAAGCTGTTCCTAGTCCCACTAGATGAAAAGTTGATATTATTTTTAAATATAGTATTAAATTTACCTATAATGCTGTCGATGGCCACATTGGTACATGCATTAAACAACATGTATTCTAGATTTTTCTATTGACTTAAAAATATGTTAAACATCTACAGATCGTAAGTCAGTTTATTATATCTGTACAGTTCCCTCAAAATTACTTTAAGTTGAGGGAATAGGTTATAAAGATTAACTGAGCAAACAATCGGGTAACTGCTTCACTTAGCCGCTGACCTCTGTGTAGGGTTGTCACTTTTTTTGTAAAGTTTTTCAGATATAATCAATATTTTATTTTTATTAGAAAATCTGAGTAGTACCTATTTAGGAAAAAAATATCTATAATCTAGTTAACTATATATTTAATACAATCCTTGGTCGATATTCTATGCATATTATGCCTGTATTTAAACAAATAAGTGTATTTAAGTATATGTATCATTTTCCTAGTACCAATAAAACAAATTCTGCTTATATTGGGACTAGATGGCGCCGTGTGAGTTGTCCGCGATTATTTTTT